TGACCCCCACCTCCTATGCGAGCATCAACTTCAAACTTGTCGTTTACCTACTTCAACCCAAACCCCGCTCCCCCCCTCTAGGCTCAAAGAAAGCACTGGCTGGGTTCACTCCTCAGGTGGACGATGACTCCCCTCCCAACCCTCCCCCCAACCCTCCCATCCAGCCCCCCATCCAGCCTCACCCTGGTTCGTACCCGCCCATCGACGGACCGGTCCGTTAGCCAAACCCCCCACCCCCCTTCTCCTAAAGGTAAAAAGATATACGGCGGTGCCGCGCAGTTAAGCCATTTTTGTTTTGTTTTGTGCAATCATGCGTCCCGCTCTCTCCCCCGAAGCGCTCACTGCTACAGACGCATATACATCTAGCGCATAAACCTCAAGTTGGGGGTGGATGGAGTGCTTAGAACGGCAGAGCTAGTAGAAGAAAGTAAAAGAAAAAAAAAAAAAAAGACAATTAGGAATGGCTGGGCCACCTTGTCTAGGTTGAAAAAACAGGAACCTTTCATCTACCCGTGGAGTCCAGCTCCTCTATCCCAAAACGGACAAGGCAAGGAGAAGAAGAAAAGAAGAAAAGAAAAGGATTTGCATCAACGCAATGTTTGAAAATATATAGTTAAATATATAAATCTTTGAAAAAAAAAAGAGCCAAAATATCAAAATATCCCGACTAGTAGAAGAGCGGACAGGCCTGATTTGATCCCGCCCGCAGATGCAGTTTCATATAAGAACCGAAGCCATTGCACCCCCTTCTCCAAGTTGTAGCTTTGTCACCCACCCATCTGGGATTATATTATCGCTTTTCTCCCCACTCCCTCCCTCACTCGCTCCCTTCCACTCCGCTCAACCTCGCATGTCATATGTTTCGTCCCCTAACAAGTCTTCCTCCCTCCTCTCTCTTTCCTTGACATTTTCCCTTCTACTCTGCTAGCTTTATTTCTTCCCCCCTCCCTCCCCCCCTTCTCTCCTCCCGCAGCTACTTTCGCTGAAACATATATACATATTACTTGGAGCAGCTACTTGCCTATCATTTATATATATATATATATTGTATACTTATTTATCTAATCGAACCGGGTTCGTTCGGTTCGTCTCGCCTTCCCATCCCAAGGGGTTTTCTGCTCGCGCCCTCCCGTCCTTCCCAGCTTACACCCGCCGCTGCATATTGTTCACCCATACCGCATATCGAATATCGCATATCGCAATAACGCACCCCATCCGCTCTAACCCTCCCTTCCTTCCTTGCAGGCGGTTGTCCTCTTGTTCACTGAAACATCAAAAAAGCGCGGCCCCCTCCTGAAACGAAACGGAACCTGAGGACCAAGCAAAATAGAAAGGAGCAAGGGTAGACCGAAAAAAGGCGCTTAGATATCCCAAGGGACCTTGGGTATTCTTCAGCTTTCTCAAAAGGTTGTTATAACTTTTCTTTTCTTTTCTTTTCTTTTCTTGCTTTTAATCAGGAAATAGTTGTCACCTCGTTTCATGTTTCAACCTTTGCTTCCTTTCCTTTTTTTTCTTATTTGTTTTTCTCTTGGAAGCATTTTGGTGTGGTGCAGGTGGATGCCTATGACATACAGCCTTGCTGGGAGCCCATGAGTATTTCTTTAAAACCCTCTCGCACGGACGCACAAATCCAACCAACCCATCACCCAAGAAATCAAGCAAGAGAAGAAGAAACACCAAGAAGACAGAAGGGAAGAAAAGCAGACAAGTGCCAGGTCAAGCCAGGCTTCTGCTAGCCACTGCTGAAGGCTGAGAGTTCCCCTTACAGGCCTTTTCTCACGTGGTTATTCTGTTCGTCCGCCTGGTTTCTTGTTTGTTTTCCCTTCCTCTTCTTTTCTTCTTTCTCCCCTCCCCCGAACAAAACAGTTTATCGCACGGTCGTCCTCGCCGCACATATATCTTGTACCATCGGCCGATTAATTTAACAGAAGCACCTTTTTCTTCCGCCCTTTCCTAGCCCCAACTGCCCCTCTCCCTTCTAGTCGATAGAAGGAGGAATATACATGACGCAGGCCTGGGTGGAGGAGTGAGGCGATTTGTTCTATTTCTTCATGTATAAATATTTTGTCGATCACTGTTCCACGACTTGGTTGGCCTCCGCGTTCATACAGAGCGCATACCCTGACAGCTCCCTCACTCGTCGTGCTCGAAGTTGAAGCCACGATCGTTCCTGTGACTCTTCTCGCTGTGACCTGACACGAACTAAAATGCCGAAACAGACAACCCCCCGCGGATCTAGACGATCCAGGCCGTACCCTGACCCAAAATCGAGAACAACGATGTTGACAGCCACCATGCGTCAAACACGAACACCTGCCGCCGCCGCAGGGGCAACCGCACGTCGCCCAACTCCACCATGGGAGGATAAAAGCTCCCCTCGTACCATGCCACCACCGCGTATTTCCACGTTAGATCGTCGGACCATTCCCGAACGGCCAGAGCGTGCCGTGCCTCCATCTCCCGCCACACCCGCCACGCCTAGCAGTCAATCGGGACAGTGGTCGCAGCAAGATGATGAGATCCTCATCTCTGCTCGTGCGCAAGGCTATGGCTGGACCCGAATTCAGGAAGAAAACTTCCCTTCCAAGAGCTCGAACGCGTGTCGGAAGAGGCATGAACGGCTCGCCGCCAAACGCAAGGGCTCTGAGTGGGTAGAGGAGAGAGTCCAAAAGGTAACAAGACACTACAATCAGCTGAGGCCTGAAATATGGCGCCCACTGGCAGCGGCCACGGGAGAAAATTGGGAGGATGTCGAAAAGCTTGTAAGTTCATTCCAATTTCATGAGTATGAAGTTTCGCATCCTGGGGTTTTTCCAGACCACTGCTAGCAAATGAAGGAAATGAATGGGGTTAACAAGTATTTCGGACGTCAAACAGTGTTTGGAACGCGGCCAGAGGAATCTTTTGCCTATGACGACCCCAAGCTCCTTTAGGAGGGCAAGCTCTGATAATGAAAGTCGGGGGAGTCACGATAGCCATGATGAAGAGAAGCTTAGAATAAAGAGCCTCCTAGGATGAGAGTTACGTCGGATGGTGCATTCCCAACGGTATTAGGTTGGATAACGCCGCAGGGCGGGTTTGTGGCGGTTGGTAAATTTGTGGTTTGCGGGCCTTCGTGTTCATGGCAATTCTCCTTTCACACATCTGAGTCAACTTGCATCGGGTCTGCCATTTGCCTTTAAACAGGTTCCTTTTCTTTGGGTTATTAATATTTCGAGTCATGATGCATACATATGTGGTAATCTTTGAGCTGTTGCCCAAGATTAAAACATATGAAGAGGGTCATTGGAAAGGAGTATGTGAGATTTTGTCAACGCAGTGATGCCTTCCTCTTAATATCGTCCCGTTTCCTTTGTTGCATGTTTAGACGACTTTCATTGGTTTTGATCCGCATGTTTCCGTTTCCAGTTCTTTAATGCGATTTCTTTCCTCTTTATTACCAGCTTTCCACTTGTTCTAGGTCCTTAATGTATGTTGTCGCTAAAGACTCTTCTTTCATCCAAAACCTACATTGCAAGAAAATGAAAAGAAGAGTTGAAAACGAAAGACATTCGGCTTTGAATTCATTCCAAGTCATGATTTCCTATTTTCCTCGAGAGGGTTAGATTGAATCGGTTTTTATCCAATCGTCTGGCCCCAGGATTCCACCATCCTCAGCGCGAGGATCAAGTGACCACTTCCGTAATGGCCGACATCGAAGATCCGAGTGCCATCCAGCTTTGAACATTTCAATCCCTGCCCATCCAATCATCGCGGCATTATCAGTGCAAAGATAAGGCGGTGGGGCAATAACCTCTAGATGTTGAAATCCACGAATGTCGAGAAAAGAGCGGAACAGCTTCCTCAGGAACAGATTTGCACCAACCCCTCCGCTAATGACAAGGTGCTTTACATCCTCAAAAGTCTGATATCCGTATGTCGGGTCTTGCCGTTGGTTCCTTTGTTCTTGCTGTTGTCGTTGGCGAATGTTTTGCAAAGCAATCACTGTCCGAGACGCAAGATGTTCAAAGCACACGGTCATGAAGGCCCGGGCAACATCTATTCTCTCGTCATTTGACATGAACCCTTCCCCCGTATTCCCAGCCGCCTCCCACCGATCCTTTTTGTTGGAGATAATGGATTGAGCCCGCGACGCAATACCCGCAAAGGTAAATTCCAACTTTCTGCTTTGAGCAAAAGGCAGGGGTATGGACCATCCCCACCGATTATCCTTCACTTTCATGGCTTCCTCCGCTCGTGTTGCTGGAGGTTGATAGTCGACGAAATCACGATGGCCATTAGGAAATGCAAATGCTTCTAGCATCTTACCGTACATCGTGGTATTTGACTGTTCCAGAAATGACTGGGGTAAAAGAGACCTGGCAAGCTTATCGAGAGCATCTCCAATAGCAATGTCCAACGTGGAAGCGAGAACCTCATGATCCACTATCGACTTCGAATGTACAAGCAATGTGTGCCCACCAGATACAAGAATGGACATAAACGGGAAATTTGGACTGCTAATGAACTCTGTATCTGCCTTGGCATCCCGTTGTTGCTGGAGAGAAGTTGCAAACCTGGGTGTAAGCAGGTGCGCTTGCATATGATGTACGCCAACAATGGGAACCTGCCAGGCCACAGAGAGTCCCTTGGCCGTATCCAATCCAACAGATAGGTTTGATCGCATTCCTGGACCCCTTGTGACTGAGATAAAATCCGGCTTCCTCCGTAAGAGCGGCGCGATCCCCCAAGTGGCGTGAGGAGAGAGGGTGATTATCCGTCCCACATCCTTTGGGTCCGTAAGCTCGGCCGCGGGGAGATATGCCAAAGCCTTATTTATCAGCTTTGCTGCATGCTCCTGGTGGGAATCAAGTGCCACGATTGGGTGGATCCCGTTGTATTTCCTCGAGTCTGCCGTT